ATATTTTATATATACATGAATTTACCCAACATTTTTTATAATATTTTTATATTAATCTAATTTTGTTAACCTAATTAAATTTATTTTTTAATCCAGAAATATTTCACGCTTACTTACCCAAAGCAAAAAGTTTGTGGGTCAAGCAAATGTCGCCTTTAGTTGGAGTTCACGTTGGATTAGTTTTTTTTTTTTAATCTATCGCTTTGGCAAGTCTTTTGTGGGGCTCAATAAATTAGCAGCTACGTCAGCCGCAAATCCAGTGACAATGACTTTTAGTTCCCAGTTCTCTTGGCTATGCCGCACACACGCTTCTCTCACACACACTCACTCGCACTTACACACACAAACAAGCACACGGAAACGTGGCAGCGTATTAAAAACTCATTAAGCAGACTCTGTGTGTATGTTTTTTTCTGCTTTTGCTTTTCAATGTGGGTTTTTCTATATGCGTTCTCTTTTATTTTTAATTTATGCAAATATCGACCGGGACGCAGCGCGTGTGGAGCTGCCAAAAAGTATGCTACGCCGCTGGCCAACTTGCAGCGAAAGTAAATCGAATGTCAACCGCACTCGCACTCACAATCGCACTCACACTCACACTCGCACTCACACTCGTACTCTCCAGCACGCAGTTGATCAAAAAGCGTGTCGTGAGTGGCGTGAGAGTCCAGCACGTGCTAAACGTGACCTATGCCAAGCGTTAAATTCATGCGAAATATCAGCCAGAAGGATGCCAAATGGTATATGCCAAACGGCTGAGTTAGCGATTCCGATTGCCACTGCGTGAGACACGTCTTCGAGCAGCAGGTAAAACGCTTCACACACACCAATCTACCCAAGTACACACACTTACTCACACACACACACGTGTCGACCAAATCCGCTTAAGACAAACTGACGACTGATTCTGTGCCACGCAGCGCAATGCCCCAAGTTGGGGCAACTTGGCCCCAAAATTGTGTGTCGGCGTCGGCAACGCTTCTGTTGCTCGGCAGCCGCCGTTTCGGCTTGTGGGCGACAGCGAGTTGGCGAGAGAGTGAGAGAGAGGGAGCGGGGCATGTGGCAACAGCACCCGGACCTGGGACACTGGCGAAGAGCTCGTGCGAGCATTTAAGAGCGCGTCTGTTCCATTGCCATTGCGTTCCGCAGTGGCGCAACTGGTTTCGCCTGTCCCTCTGCCGACTTGGAAGGCACCTAAATGTGTGGCATTGGAAGCAGTGTCCCTCTCTCTCTCTCACTCTCTCACTCTGACTCCTCTTACTCCGCCGCTCTGCCTACTCCTTATCTCGCGCTCGCTCCGGCTGCCGGCTGGGGCCGCTGTTTTATTTGCCCAATTAAATGCCACATATGTCATGGACTACTCAGTGCTCGACCTCCTCCAACTTGCCGCATGCAGTTTTTTTAATTAATCATTAATAGGAGCCACGCTCCGCTGGCAACCAAAGCCAGCGCCAGCGGCACAGCCGGAGCCGGAGCCACTGCCCGAGCTGGCACTGGAGCCTAGTGGCATAGCCAGAGCAGATAAAGACAGCCAGGCAGGCAGGCAAGCAGTCAGGCAGCCCCTGTCCCAGCTGAATGCCAAATTGCAGCCTTTGATATGCCCGCTGGAGCCCACTGCGACCCCGACTCGGGCTTCAGCCGCAATTAGCGAGCAGGCGGAGCGGCGCAACAACAACAACAACTGTGCAACAGTTGCGTCAGTTTCAATTCTCACAAGGCACGTCCCAGGCCGCAGCGAATGCCAAATGCAATAGAGTCTAGTTCCACGCGTCAAATGAAAGGCAGAAATAACTAAAAAATACAAAACGTAATTAGTTTGATTGACGGACAGCTGCCCTGTATATTAGCTGACAATTTGAGAAAAAATATATATATTTGGAGTAAAAGAAATATTGAATCATTGAATCTTTACCGACTGTAATGGACTCAAGGGAAGGAGAGACAGAAGGAGTAGACAAGCAAGAGAAATAGATATATATATTGATGGAAAGAGGGAGTAGATACAGAAAAAACAATATATATAGAGCTTGACATAGAGATAAAGTAATAGAGTAATAGAGAGATATAAAGCTAGAGAGATTGTGAGATACAGTTAGAGAAAAATTAAGATGGAGAAATATAGATATAAACATACAAAAGGGTTTCCATTCCTATCCGAGACTGATAAACACAATCAGAGAAAAATATATAAATATATATACGTATAGAAATCGAGAGAAACAAAAAATCAAAGAGAAGGATAGATGTATAGACACGCAGAAAGGGAAAACAAATATTTTTAATGAGTGCACTGATCAGAATTCACACCCCGCTGCACAAATCTCGTGTTTCATAATACTCTTAGTAGTAAAAAAGTTACAGGGTATTAAAAAATGTATACACTTATCTACAACGACACTTCTATGCCCTTACAAAGAATTAAATAAAATATAAACAAAATAACAACAGATATAAATATATATAGAAGAAGAGAGAAATATTCTCAATTGATATACATACATGTATGTACTTATATGCACGATCTATTGCATTATGCAAGCATTATCACTTGCCTAGGGGCAATCGTATCTTACTGGAGCTGCTCAGGCATATATAACACGCTCATTGCATTTGGTTGGCCTCCGTTTCCCTGGGGTCTCTCAGGCGCTGGCAGCTGTAATGCAACAATTGACCCGCGGGTCGAGTCTGCCACGACACCCTGCCACGCCCCCTGTTCTGCAGTGCCAGTGCCACTGCTGGGTCGCTGCGCTGCACTGTTGCAAATACAATTTGCTGCACTCGGTCGAACACATTCCGATTTCGCATAATTTTATTGGGTCTCGCATGACTCCAGCGACGCCAACGATGACGACGGCGTTGACGATGGCGGCGACAGCAAACAGAATCAACACAACAGCTGCTCCACGCCGTACCTCCGGCTCCCTTGATAAAATGCGATTCCCCAATGCATTTTTGTAGGCGCTGCACAGGGAGGCATATGTCAGCAACAGCGACTACGACAGAGGCGGAGGCAACTCCCTTCAGAGAGGGCACTTATGCTTTGCATATGCAATCGGCCACATAATCAGGCGGGCTGCCAGCTGCGAGCTGCGAGCTGCGGCAGCTGAGCGCGGGATTTGGCATTGCAAAAATGCTAATTAGGCGTAATTCGCATAAAATTCGCCAAACATTTGCTGTCATTGGCAAGTCGAGGATTCAGCTCGGATTGTCAGCCGTGCCCTAGCTGTGCCCTGGCATGGCCTGGCCTGGCCTGACTATGGCTTTTGATTTATGAGCAGCGACTGCTATCAACGGGCGCATCAACAGCGCCAATCGTCAGCTCATCCGTCATCACAGACCGCACCCGGAGATGGAAGCAGCCTCCACAGCTATTGCTGCTGCTGCGGCAGTCAGACTGATAAATTATTAACTATGTGGCATGTAGGTGTACATACATATGTATGCGTATGTATGTGTATGTCTCTGTTTGATTCTGATTCGGATTTGTTTTGCTAACTGTGATTTCTCGCTTTTTCCCCCAATAAGAAACATTTGCTTCAGATCTTGCGTTTCATTAAAAATTTATTTGTTAATTTGTCTTAAAAGCAAAAGCATAAATATTGTGCATTTCTGTTTTATTCTAGTAATAATTTCAGGAATATGTGTTCTTTTAATAAATAAT